CATAAGCTCACAAGAATTAAAAGAACTTTCTTAAATGACTCAAAGGTGGTATCTGACCCCCACCCCCCAAAATTATCAAAAATATATAAGACAAAACAAGACAAAAGTTGGAAATGTCAATGGACTCAAGGTTCATTGATATACATATGGTAGAAATGCTCACAAATTAAGAAGTACTGGGGGAAAGTTCATATGATAACTAAGATTTTGAAAATAAATTATCAAATGAAACATGAGATACTTGTTAAATATGACAAGTGAATTAAGAAGGCATGATGAAAATGTACATTGGAGAGTAAAATTATATATGATAATCTCTGTGAGAATACTGTTAGCAAAAAAATGGAAGACAAAAGAAATCCCATCAATTGATGAATGGTTATTGAAATTGATAAATCTGTCTGAAATGGATAAATTAACAGCTAGATTGAATAACAAAAACATGAATATAGTGGATAAGAGATGGGCTCCTATATTGGAATTTTGTAAAAAAAAATGGGAAGTTAAATGAAACAAGTTTATCATTAAGCTTCTCAATAGAAATGCTGTCTGAGACTAAACTGAAAGTAAATAATCAGAAGGAAAATATCTAATGAGCTGTACAAACCTTTATAATGTCAGAGGTACATGAGAAGTTAAAGTATGAGAAGGATGATTGTAATGTAATGTAAATAATCAAATGTGGTAAAATAGAAGTATAAGAATGTTGGAAGATATATGTATGGAAATATGGAGAAAGGAAGTTGAAGAAGTGAGAGTAAGTGATAGAAGGTTGGAGTACGTGAAAGATGAATGGAAAGAGAGATTGTAAGAGGAGATTATGAAAGAGAAGAGGGAAAAAGAGAAAGAGTGAAGTTTGAGATAGAGGGATAAAAAGGAGTGCTTTATAAATTAGATATTAAAAGGAAGAGAAGACAAAACAGAATGAAAGGGGAAAGCGTTATGTTACTATTGTCACAATAAGACTTAAGGGAAGATTGTAACCGAATAAGAAATGTGTGATTTTGTTTGACTGATGTTGACTTGTTTTATAGTAAATAAATTTTTTAAAAAAGAATGCTGTTACCTTCCCACTGAAGCGGTACCTATTTACCTACCTGCACTTTTACATGCTTTTGAACTGCTACGTTGGCAGAAACTGGGACAAGTGGTGGGAGTTCACTTTGGCATATGGCACCTGGGCCTCAAACTTCTTAATCACTGCCAAAATCTGAGCTTCCAGCTTCTGACCACTCCAAGGCTATGAACCTGGGTCTACACAAGGATTGTAACCCCATCTAGCACAGGCAGAATCCCTATTTCCTGATCTGCCTTTTGACTAACCAGGAGTACTTCCAGCTTTTCTGGATATAGTTTTAGTTGGTTTGCCCTTATCCTGTCCATTACTGATGAGAGGCACCAGTTTAGACCAAAACAGCTTCCGTGGCTTATGGTAGAAACCAGTAATAGAGTTGGGTGGCATTGAACCTCCAAACTCCAGAAAACCTCTTTCAGCAGTTTCATATATATCTAAAATAGCATGGAAGACAGAACTGAGCTCAAAGAGAGCCCATAGACCAACAGCCAAGGAACTGAGCAGAAGTCCCCCAGCACCACTTTCTGGGAACAAGGAATAAAGCCACTGTAAAACAATGCTCCCAAGTCCCATTTCAGCAAGGTGACCCAGTAGGATACCATAGTTGAAAGTACTGAAAGCTGCCAACAGGCATAACAGAACCAGCAGGGACACACTGCTCCTGTCTAGCACCTAGCATAGGTCATCCATCAGGGTGACCAAAGCTGTCTCTGTCCCATAACTGAAATGGATCTATATAATTTATGTCATCCAGGAACCCCTGGGACTGGCAGGCTACCACACACTCCAGAATCTTGCTTAAAATTGGTACTAGGGCATTTCAAGATGGGTCTAAAGAAGATTTTAAACACACACACAGAGAGAGAGAGAGAGAGACAAAGAGAGAGAGATATCCTTGGCTTTTTTCAGTCCTTATCAACTTGGTTTCCACCATTCCATTCATTTGCATTTACCTTTTGTTTATAGTGATTTTTTGGATCTGCGCTGGTGTTCTTTGAAACATTTTTTAAAAAACAAAATGAAACGAAAACAAGACATGGTTTACTGAGTTGGTCCTATGTTTTGCAGGGCAAATTTTCTCCTCTGAGTTTTTTTTTTTTAAATTCTTAGATGCACTTAGCACTATAACTTGAAGGGAAAAAAAGGAGAAGGATGATTTTTTTTCTTCCAGTATGTATCTGAATTAAAAAGAAACCCACTCAAGGGTGGGAATAAAATGCTGCAGCTGGTGCCAGAAAAAGTCTGGGAAAACAGAAACATTGTTTGGATATTAAAACAAAAACAAAAACACAACAAAACAAACAAAAAAGGCTGAAGATAAAGCAACAAATAATGCAACCTCCTGACACATTTGCCCTGTCTAGAGGAGTCCCTAGTCTCTGTGTTCTAAGAAAATTATTCTCTTCATTTTTAAGCTACTGAATTGCATGTAATTTAATGTGTCTGAACTGTGAAAAGCTGTTATGACAGTTTCACAGGCTACTGCATTTTTTTATTTCCCCATTTACAGATAAAAATAGAAGGGGAAATGTTGCTTGTAAATGCAATGTGTAATTCAGCTAACCTCACTAATGTCAATAAACAGATACTGTGTACTTCTTATTGTCTAAATCATTACCCCTTTCAGATGTCCAATTGTTGTCTGGACTGGTCTTCATTATTTTTCTTCACTATCTCTTAATGGTAAATTAAATTGGCTAATATTTCAAGTAGTTAAAGGATATGGTAGCAAAGAGACTTCAGCTATATTAACCACTGTTCAGAAAAATATGTTTTGCTAAGCTATTTTTAAATGACATCAACTGATAAGAAAATAGGTGAGTGACTGCTTAACACAATTATTGATCAGAAGGTATTTATTTCATCTAATTTCATTTCAATTCTGTTTCCCCCAGTAATGGGACTCAACATGTTTTACAAATGATGAAAACCAGCACAGATTAAAAAGCATGCAAAAATCTCTCTCTGTGTGTATGTGCATGATATTATTATTATTATTATTATTATTAAAAAACTAACCAATCCATACAGCTACAGCCATTCAAAATTCATTTAAAGGCAGAATATAATGCTGAGATTAGCATATAACTGGAAGAATATAGATGAGCAATATTTTGATAACCTATGAATGTCTTATTTTCTCTGAAGTACAGTAACATCCAAAATCAATAAAACTGTGATACTTTTCTTTATTAGACCAATCAAAATGCACAAAATACATGTTGCAAGATTTTGAAGATCCACTGGCTTCTTCATCAAGCAAAGGTGCTAAAATCATACAGGAGAAATAAAAATATAATGATGTTATAGTCACAGCCTTACATTTTGTCAAGATGTTGTTGTTCTCAGTTATGTGTACAGGATCAGACTTTAGATGGTATAGATGGATATTCATATAGGCAGGCCACTCTTCTTTCTGGCCATATGGTTTCTGGCAGACAATTGTAAAATCCAGGAAATAAAGTTTAAAGTCTATTAGCAACACAAAAAGATAATTCCTTTGAGATCCAGGTTGATCCTGTTATTTTCTTTGAATTACTCAAGAACTCAGTAGGGGGCATGAAATTACTCCAGAATTAAATGTGGGCAGAAAGATGTCCAGCTGCCACTTCGAGGTCAGCACAATGCCAGCAGAAGGAGTGAAGATTGCAAGGCAGAGAGAGGCAAGACCACCTTGATCACCCAACTCTTGAAAAGGCAACCAAGAGATGGTAGAGCCTAAGCAGACTGCCAGAAATAGTGCACATTAAATTGAGGCACTGCCCTGGCTCAGTGCTAGGGAATAATGGGAAATGTAATTTATTGTGGCACCAGAGCACTCTCACAGAGAAGGCTCAATGTCCCAGAAAAAAATACAGTTCCCATGATTCCCTAGCACTGAGCCAGGGCAGTGCCTCAATTTAATGTGCACTATTTCTGGCAGTCTGCTTAGGCCTATACTCAGTGGAATGCTTCTTGTCCACTCCATACCTTTAGAAGGCTTTGGGGAGTTGCCTCTAGTCACAAGAACAGGAGACGAGGAATTAAGTCGCACAAGATTGTAGTCTGCTAGTCTCATGAGATCTAGGGCTGGAATTGCAGGAAACTATATAAGGCCTTATATAATGCTTCATATGACCTGGACAACATCTGGCTCAATGGGCAGTACAGCCCCCAAACTATCCACTCTCAGTCTGAGTTACTTCAAATGGCAGCTAGTCACCTAGTGGTTTGAGCATTGGACTATGACTCTGAAAAGCAGGGTTCGGATCCCTGCTTGACCATGAAAACCCACTGGGTGACCTTGGGTAAGTCACACTTTCTCAGCCTCAGAGGATGGCAATGGCAAACCCCCTCTGAAAAAATTTGCCAAGAAAACCCTGTGATAGGTTCACCTTAGGGGTGCCATAAATCAAATTTGACTTGAACGCACACAACACAAACATAAAACAGCTGAGCTGAATGCCAGGCATAGATTTCTTGCTGTCTATAGCTGTGTTACTGTACAGTCCAGGTACATCCCTACGAGTGTACAGGACAGAGTGTCTCCTTCCTTTTGGGAAGAAGGGAAGAAAAGAAGATGGTTCCCCCTTTTTTCCTGCAGCAGTGCTGCTTCTGATTTTTGGACTATTTAAATGTGAAAAGAAGGTGCACTGGAGGCTGCAAAATCACCTGGAGGGGTGGTCACATATTGCTCACCCCTGCTACGCACACTTCCTTTGGAGTGTGTCCCCCTGACCTCCACAAGATCTGACTAGACAGTGTAGAATTGTACTGTAAGGAATAAGTCCCATTGAAAACAATGCTTTTTCTCTTGAGGGATGTGCTAAGCTGAATTTATATGACTGCTGCTCAATTAAGAATGTGTGAAACAATTATGAAACAGGGCAGGAGCAGCAGTAGAAGATTTTTTCTAACAAGCATTTTATTTGTTAGAAAGTAACAAGCCAACATAGTTTAGTGGTTTGAGTATTGGACTACAACTCTGCAGACCAGGGTTTGAATCCCTGATCAGCCATGGAAACTCACTGGGTGACCTCAGGCATGTCACATTCTCTCAGCCTCACAGGAAAGCAAAGGCAACCCTTTCCTACACAAATCTTACCAAGAAAGCCCTGTGATAGCTTTGCCTTAGGGTGGCATATGTTGGACACAACTTGAAGGCACACAACAACAAATTTTAAATAGAAAATCTATATATTGCAGGAGGAGATGAGTAGTGAAATTTGGTACTATGCCTCTGGAAAATGGGCAAGGTGGCTGATTTGTCCTTTTGCCTATGAGCATATAGCGGTAAATGGGAACTTTATTACTTTGAATTGAAAGAGGCTTAATGTCTTCATGCTGAACTGCCGACTCAAATCAAGCAGCACCACAAAAGTAAAGATTACATCATGGCACTCAGAGCAAAGTTTATTTATCATCTCATTAGTGAGATTGCTGTGAATTTTGAATGAGAAATCAAGCAGCCAGTTTCAGTTGAACTAAATTAAATGCAACAAAGAAAAATGGCAAAGCAGTAAGTGAAGAGTTCTTTCCCTTATTATTATTCTTTTCCCTCTGTCCTTTCTTCTTGCTTTTGCTTTTAACCTAAAGGTGCTTCCACCTCTTATCCCCTTTAACAGAAAGCATTGCCCAGGTTGTTTTAAAGCTCTGCACACAAAGAAGTCCTCCAAAAGCTGGGCTCACCTTCCAAACATAGAAAAAGCAATTTCCAAGTGTGTTATCAAAAATGTGTTTAAATGAATAAATATTGATATAACTTCAAGCAATTAGAAGCACACTAATAACAATAGGAGGCTTCTGCTGTAAATAATTACTCTTGCCTCAAGGCGACTCTTTAATTCTTGGGCTACCAAATCTATAAACAATAATCAAACTGCAAAGCTAGTTGTGTTGTTGCTATTGGACTGAGAGAAGGAAAGGGAGGAGGGTTCCCTCCCCCATAATACCGCATAATACTTATATAGTTCAACTTATGGTGATGCTGAGGGCAACAGTGACCTACAGGAACATAGGTCTAGAGGCTAAGACCTAATGTTTACTTCCATTGATCTGAGTTACAGACACCCAGGAACTGTGTTGCTGATTTTTCATAACTACAAAAGCTGCTCACATCACGTGTGTGTGTATGAGAGAGAGAGAGAGAGAGAGAGATAAGAAGGCGACTTGCTGCTGTGACTCAATAAATGGGGACATTAAGAGGAAATGCTATAATTGCTGCTACCCACAATCTTGTTAATGACTAATGTACAGTTAGACTTCCCTCTCCCCATGCAATTGTGGCTAAATTGTTTACACAGTTTATTCAGGATGTCACAACTAATACTGAACATAATGAAGGATTGTAATTGCAGCCATTATAGTCAAATATTAGGATTTCTTTAATTAGAATTAAGAAAATGGTGACAAGGGAGTTTAAAAATGGATGCAGAAGAAACCAATGGGTGAAAATTTAAAGATTTGTTTTTAAAAGTGAGGATATTTCCCGTTTCTGTGTATGGTTGTAAGAGCTGGACAGTGGAGAAAGCTGATAGGAAGTAGATCAACTCATTTATAATGCTGGAGTAGAATTCTGTGAATACCCTGGACTGCTAAAAAACCAAAACAAAAAACCCAATGGATGGATCCTAGAGCAAATCAGGCCTGAACTCTTCCTAGAAGCAAAGATGATTACACTTCAAAATCATCATAAAAATTCTTCTATAATGAGATGGAAGCTGGAATTTTGTTAGGTCATTATACCAGAGGAAAATTAGCTGCACAAGCAATTAAACCAGATTCATGGTCTCTAGTGCACAAAGTCAAAGTCAACCCTTAAGCAATGGATTATCTGAAGGCTATGGTGCTGACTGCATGTGTCTATGTATGTTATCCTACATGTGAATAGGATCTTACCATAGAAAACTAGTGGGTAACAAAATATTATCTATCTCCAAAGGCTGAAGAAGTTATTTTGTGGAACTACAGCTCCTAGAATCTGGCAGATTCTGGAAGCTGCAATTTTGGAAGCTGCTGTCAGCAAATAAATTGACTAGCGAAAGAACGTTATTTTCTGTCTGGTTGATTGATCTAGATTGCCTTTGGTTATTGACTGTCACCTAGAGGTATACTGACCACTGGGTATGAAACATATTGCTAGTACCTGTAGCAGGAAATTCAAATAGTATCCTCCTCCTCAAACATTAGTGGTAAAATTATAACAATGAACTAAATAATCAATCATTTAGTTGTAGCTACAGATATCACTCACTGCTTCTCCTTTCAGAAAAGATAACTGATGTGCATGAAGTGGCAGAGAGTGTGTGCCTTCTCTTTTACCATCCCAATAGCTATGAACTTTATATTTTGTGTATAAGGTATGATCTACGGCTTGCCTGTTGCTACTAAACAGGTATAGGCCTAGTCTGTGCCTGGTGGGAAATCAGCTATCTTGAATTCTAGGATAGTAAAATGTGGTCTGGAAGTGTTTAAAACAGAAGTTCTGGTAAGTCATAGGACTATATAGGCTCTCCCCCCCCCCAGAGAAACATTTTGTTTTAGCAGAAGAGGAAATCTATAAATATAAGGTTGAGCAACTATAGCAGTCATGAGTAAGACTCTTGAGCAAACTTAGTAGTCATGGGGTATGAAGAGAAATGCTCATATGAGTTGGAAAGTAGTTAAAGAACAGGAATCAGAGAAAAAGAATAAATGGCCAATTCTCATAATGGTGGGATGTGAACAATAAAACTGCCAATACCAAAGCTATTGTCAATTTTCAACCAAACGTAGGGCCTTTGCAGACTGCTAGAAATAGTGCAAATTGAGTCCAATTTAAGGGTTAGGGTTAGTGCTAGGGAATCATGGGAATTGTCCCCTCCCCCGATACATTGAGCCTTCTCTGTCAGAGAGCTCTGGTGCCACAATAAAATACAGTTCCCATGATTTCCTAACCCTAACCCTAACCCTTAAAGTGGACTCAATTTGCACTATTTCTAGCAGTCTGCAAAGGCCCTAAGTCTCAAAGGTGCTAAAAGATCTCTCTACATATTGAAATAGTTCAGTTCAGCTCACCACCCCAGAAAAAAATATATTGCATAATTGGAAAAGATGCAGGAAATGGCAACCAAAAGCACCAAGGAACTGGGACAGCCCCCCCCCCCCAGCCCCCAAGGAAAAGTTAGAATATTAGGGGCTATTCAGCATAGAAAAAGGAAGACCAAAGTAATAGAGGTGTATAAAATGATATACGGTACACAGCACCTTGATGGTTTTAAGCTTTACTTCCTCTCTCATAATACTGTAGCTGCATGTTGGGAGATTTAGGACAAGTAAAAGGAAGTACTGTTGACAGATATAGTGATGGTTCCAATTTGGACAGCTTTAGAAGGGGATTAAACACATTCATGGTGAATAGGACCATTAGTGGCTAAACCAGCTGTGATGTCTTCACATTACCTTCAGTATCAGACACAGACTGATTTATCAGTTGCAGAGGAACATGAACAAGAGAATCCTGTTTCATTCATGTTCTTGTGGGCTTCCATAGCATGTGGTTGGCCACATTTTAAACATAATGCTGCACTTGATAGGTCTTCAGTCTGAACCAGTATGCCTCTTCTTACATTTGAAAGATACAAATCTGATTTTCCTTTTATGAGGACTATTTTATTTCAATTTAGATATTTCCCAGGATCAGGTCAACTAGCAGACCTTTGCTTGCTTGCTTGCTTGCTTGCTTGCATCCTTCCTTCCCCTGCTATTGTATCCACCATGCTTCAAATTTAATAACTTGACATTTTTTTACTTGATCCTGCATTCCCTTTGTTAGACAGAGTGGTTAGACTGTGTGGTTAAACCTCCTTAGATCTGTAAAAGTGCCCAGAGTGATTTCAGACAAATACTTCCTAGCACTGTATGGGTGCAGTAATTGGTCACAAATGAAGTTATCTTTTCCTAGTTGCTTAACATGTCCTCTTCTGACTTTTCCAGCAGAAATAAGAAAATCATTTTCTGAATAGACTGTGACACAATGTGAACAGCTGCTCAGGACTTGGCATAAATTGTGGATTTAATTTTTAAGAGGGGAAAAAAAGAAGACAAAGGTGACTGCTCCATTCCCTTACATTTCATTTTTTGTTAACATGAAAGGGTCTGAAATCAAAAGTGCTACACTGTATCTATTCACCTGTCCTGTGCATATATATCATTGGGAAAGATACCAGTTTGTTGTTTGTGCGCCTAATTCGAAAACTAAATAACAAGGAAATTGGAAGAACCAAAATTAAACCACTTAAACTTTTGGCTGGAAAGTCTCAGAAGATAACCATGGCAGGCTAATGCCATGAAAATGTTTTAAGTGGAAATTCAGTAGTACTTATTAACAGTGGAAAAATATTTTAAACTGTGCTGCTCATACAAGACTCACTTGCTAATCTAATTTGGAATAGTTTCCAGCCAAATCAATATCTGCCTCCTGACAAATATTATTAAATATCTGTTTGATAAGCCTATTTACAACTAGGGATAATAATTTCACTGCTGTGAGATTGTAAATGAACAAACAAAACAAAACAAAACAAAACAGACTCACTGATGGCTCCCTTCACTCACAGCGTCTGTGTGCCAAAGTTGGAAGACTAAGATGAAGAACATAATTAAGGAAACATATGAAGGCTAGCACGGGGTTTGAGATTAATTAGCTGTGTGTCAATAATCTCATCAATATCCGATTAACAAATGACACATTGCCCAATGAAACATATTGATTCATTCACACTCTACACTGTTAATAAATTGAAGCTGCTTTGCTAAATGAGAGAGCTGACGAAATAATAACTTCCTAAAACTTTCTCTGTTACTTGTGCTTAAAAACAAAGTTAGCTTGAAGTATGCTGAAATTTTGCTGCTCTGTCACTGACTTCTTATTACTCATGAATGAAAAAAAAACAAAACCAGTTTTTATCTCTTGAGTTAATGTAAACAGAAATAGGAATATAAGGACAGTATGAGATTTCCTGGATTGAGGATCCAGGA